TTTTTTTTTTTTTTTTTTTTTTTTTTTTTCCTTTCCCCATCCCCTCCTCCTTTGGCCTCCTCCCACCCCGGCAACTGTACAAAGCCACAGATTGAATCACAGTAAATTATTATTTGATGGTCTCGACAAACCGTCTTGATGGCTGTGTCCTCCTTCCAGAGGTGCTGTTGCTGGTGCTCTGGGAGGATCGCTGGTGGGATGGTGGGGAGGGAAGGATGCTGAGATTTTGCACTCCACAGACTGAGGTCCTGCTGTAGGCCATGAAGGTGATCGGGGTGGGGTATTCTTTGGGGAAAGAGCTGTCTTTGCAGCAAGTTGTCGTCATGTCCCCATCTCTCCCCAGCCCACCTGAAACACTGTGCTGGCTGCCCCAAGTTTTGGTGGGGTGAAAGAACATGAGTCCAAGCCTGTCCTCGGTGCACCCCTGATGCCTTCGACCTAGGCCTTGTGGGTTTTCTTTTATGGTCTCAGATGGAAGGGAAGAAGCATCAGGGAGGACATCTGAGAGCTGAGTTCACCTCAGCTGGTGCCAGTTTGTTCCTTCCTTGTTCTTTTTTTTTCTAGGCAGCAATTCCTGGCACAGCACGTCCCAAATCTTCATGTGCTCCAGAGGTACATTTAGGCCTTTCTGCTCCCCTCCAGAACCTAGCTAATGCCAACACCTGCATAGCACATACACCTTGGGCTGCTCCAGTTTGTCAGTCTGTATAATAGTATGCAAATCCCTGTTTGCCCCATCCAGGGCTTAATTACTGGTGAGCACACAGCAGAAGAGCCCTCCTGCACTGCAGTCTGGCTGCTCAACAGTGAAGACTAAAGGATTCAGACTTCCAGTCCTTGGGTTTAAAGTGGGTAGGAGTATGTTGGGTAAGGGCTAATTTGTTGGCAAGTCTGTCTTTGCTCAGCCCTGCTCCCTTGGGATTTTTGCCTGGAGTCTGACCCAGGTGCCTCCCACATGCCTTTCACTTGCAGAGCTGGATGAGGCGTTGTGCTTGCTGCAGCCGGTGGCTCACTGCTTGCTGCCTTTCCCTCTCCCATGCTATTGCACGGGCTAATTTAGCTGGCATCCAGAATTAAGAGCATCAAAGGGAGGAGCTGATCCAGCTGAGCGCAGCGGGGAGCTGTGCTGCACGGGGCTAGCCCAGGCCTGAAGAGGCGCCGGGTTCAGCCGCTGGGGCTGGCAGGGGTTGGGAGTGGCGAGGGCAGTGTGTGAGTCACATGCCTCGCATGACAAAACCAGGACAGAAACCCTGGTGCCCCCAGCACGAAGCCACAGCCCACCCGGGGGTTCCCAGCACCCGTGCGGGCAGCTCCTGTTCTGCTCCTCATCCTCCAGCATAGCAGGCAGCAGCAGAACTAAACTCCAACGCTGCTTGGAGTTGCTGCCTTTGCTTTTGGCCTGGGCAAGAGAGGACTTGTGCTAACAGCTTGCTTTTTGTAGCTGCCTGCTCCCGACTGCTGCAGGACACAGTCCCCACCCTGGCTGCAGCTGCCTGGCACCCAGTTCCTGCAGGAGAAGGGCTGATCCCAGCTGGAATGGGAGGAGTTGCCTGTTCACAGCAGCACCCGGCCCCATGGTGGGGGAGTGCTGAAGATGCTGCGTCTGGTGTTAGTTGGTGGGGCTGGACCAGATGCTCCCAGAAAACCTCCCAAATGAAGTTATTTCTAGTGTGAAGCATGGAACTGGGGGTTTTGGTCCTAAATTGGCAGCATGTGCGTAACTGCAGGCAGGGCAGAGGGCAGGGCTAATTCATCCTTCCAGAAGATGACAACAAGCCTTAAGTTAGTGTGTGGGTTGGTGTGGGGGCTCTTGCTTGGTGGTGGTACTGCACTAGGAGTCTGGTGCTCTTTTTCTGCAGTAGAGCTTATCCTTCACGAGGCCCTTGGTGAAGGATGGGATAGCTCTATCTGGAGGCCTTCAGGTGAGAAGTAATGCTGTGTTTGAGGCTCTAACACTCAGTATTTGGGGCTTTCTCAAGGTCTGGACTCTGGATGACTCTCAGCTACTGTGAGTATCCTCTCATTTCTGGTTAGATGCCAGAAGCTGCAGTGAAGGACCAGGAGCCATGGTCAAGCAAGCTGAGGAGCTCCAGGGAGCACCAGGGGCAAGGTGTCTTCACAGGGCAGCCACCAGCTGCAGTTGCAGGAGCAACTGACCAGAATACAAAGTCCTTCAGCAGTTCGATCAGGAGCAGAAAGCCAAAGCATGAGCATTTCCCTTTCAGAGAGGTTTCTGCACCCTTCAGGGCGAGGTTTTCCAGCTTGCTCAGGACAGCTCTGGGTCTGGTCTAGATGAGGGGATCGAGGGCACCCTCAGTCAGTTTGCAGATGACACCCAGTTGGGAGTTGATCTGCTCGAGAGTAGGGAGGCTCTGCAGAGAGACCTGGCCAGGCTGGAGCCATGGGCTGCGGCCAACTGGGGGAGTTTCACTGAGGGCAAATGCCGGGGACTGCCCTTGGGCCACAACAACCCCCAGCAGGGCTACAGGCTTGTGGAGGAGAGGCTGGAGAGCTGCCAGTCAGAGAGGGACTGGGGGGTGAGAATGAGCCAGCAGTGTGCCCAGGGTGCCAAGAAGGCCAATGGCATCCTGGCTTGTGTCAGCACTGGCGTGGCCAGCAGGGACAGGGAAGGGATCTGA